CTCTTTTTGTTATGAATTTCTCTTCTTGGGGGGACAGGAAGCCTGCGAACATGTATCTACTTTAGGCTTGCTGCAACCCCATAATAGTTGCCTAACTCCCGGGTACCTATTGACTGCTGGGTGAACAGATGCATTAGGGGAAATTAAACGTGCCCAACCGCTTCCGTTCCGGCCGGAAATCTAACCCGGGATCCCCCGATTGCGAGTCGAGAACCTAATGGCTAACTATAGTTTTTTTAAAGGAGTTAATCAATACGTTAAAATTACGACGTATTAGCAACAAATTAAAAAAAAACACCGTTTTCTATGCCACGGCGTCGACATAGGTTAGGTAGGTTGCTAGGGTTTGTAGGTATCTAGTTGGGGGCTTAAACAACTGCATTTGTTACGGAGTAGTAAAGGAGAAATTGGGTTATCTTGAGATGATTTCGGGGCTTTAGTGTCCCCGCGGCCCGGTCCTCGACCAGGCCTCCACCCCCAGGAAGCAGCCCGTGACAGCTGACTAACACCCAGGTACCTATTTTACTGCTAGGTAACAGGGGCATAGGGTGAAAGAAACTCTGCCCATTGTTTCTCGCCGGCGCCCGGGATCGAACCCGGGACCACAGGATCACAAGTCCAGTGTGCTGTCCGCTCGGCCGACCGGCTCTCTATATGCTACTTAGCGACCCTAAACAGGTGTTAGGAGTCTACTTTCCACAGTATAAGAGACGATACATTAGGCATGCTCTCCATGCGGGCCGGCGCAGCGGCGTAGCGGCCGCTCTGCGCACCTCAAGTTAAGTCAGGTTAACCACCGTTCAGTCTGGCCAGTAACGGGACGGGTGATCCCGGGCGACACGGACTCGGGATGGGTGATCCCAGGGACACGGACTCGGGATGGGTGATCCCGGGCGACACGGACTCGGGATGGGTGATCCCGGGCGACACGGACTCGGGATGGGTGATCCCGGGGACACGGACTCGGGATGGGTGATCCCAGGGACACGGACTCGGGATGGGTGATCCCGGGCGACACGGACTCGGGATGGGTGATCCCGGGCGACACGGACTCGGGATGGGTGATCCCGGGGACACGGACTCGGGATGGGTGATCCCGGGGACACGGACTCGGGATGGGTGATCCCAGGGACACGGACTCAGGATGGGTGATCCCGGGCGACACGGACTCGTCATGGTGGCGGGAGGCTTGACCAAGCTAGACATTCCCCAGAAGACAGAGGTGACAGTCGAAGACAGAAATAGACAGGATTCCTAAACTACAAAACTGGTCTTTAAGTGGTACAATCTTACGAAGCCACTAGTACACAGAGCCCTTCAGGCAGATATGTACTTAAATAAAGTAGCAGTAGGCCTCCATCAGTCTCAGGAGACTATGAAGCCTCTCCAGGGCACAAAGTCAGGGTAGGTCGATATGGAGAAGCTGTTACCCATGCAGCAGGTATTTACACCCACTTATAATGCCACGTTATAAGTGTGTTTCCATGACCCGACTTATAATGAGCGCCTGGAGGAGGATGACAGCTCTAAGTCTGTCATACGCTGGAAGAATTTTAATGCTGATGTAAATTTGTTGAACACCTGGTGTTGGAGAGAGAGAAAGAGCTCAGGAACGCAGGTTCGATCCCGCAATACTGCCCTAATATTCGTTATCTGATTGCTGTGGCTAGAAGTAATTCTTATATTTCTCCCCATATGGCCCTTCTCCAGTGTGTATGACGCCAGAATGACACCACAAATTGGTTTATGTTTGTCAACAAACTTTCATCAGGCTGTAACTAACCTTGAAATTAGCTGTAAATTTAATTATTTACCGAATCTGGGTTTTGTAGCCTCCTTATCGGACTCCAAGACTGATAGAAACAGTGGTGTGTGTGTGTGTGTGCGTGTGCGTGCGTTTTTAGCTATTTGTCCCTGTAAAATCGAACTGTAGCTCTTGGACCTCAACTATAACTACAATTGCATTAGCTCATGACCTCAGGGAATGCATGTACTTGACTGCTGGAAACCCTCTCAACAGTCTAATAGATCTGCTCCCTGGAAAGTACGGGAAATAGACGTCTAAATTGTACCCCTCAAGGTGAAAAAGATTCACCATGAACCGGGACAATTACGGTGTGTGTATGGAAGCATGATATCTCGGTTACCAAGAGGCAACAGTTTACATGTATATTGCGACGGGTCGGTGGCGGAGGAGAGGTATAATATATGAGAAAAGTCAAACCATGCAACACTACATGTGTGTGTGAGTCAAACCATGCAACACTACATGTGTGTGTGAGTCAAACCATGCAACACTACATGTGTGTGTGAGTCAAACCATGCAACACTACATGTGTGTGAGTCAAACCATGCAACACTACATGTGTGTGAGTCAAACCATGCAACACTACATGTGTGTGTGAGTCAAACCATGCAACACTACATGTGTGTGAGTCAAACCATGCAACACTACATGTGTGTGAGTCAAACCATGCAACACTACATGTATGTGAGTCAAACCATGCAACACTACATGTATGTGAGTCAAACCATGCAACACTACATATATGTGAGTCAAACCATGCAACACTACATGTGTGTGAGTCAAACCATGCAACACTACATGTGTGTGAGTCAAACCATGCAACACTACATGTATGTGAGTCAAACCATGCAACACTACATGTATGTGAGTCAAACCATGCAACACTACATGTATGTGAGTCAAACCATGCAACACTACATGTATGTGAGTCAAAACACCTACATTTCACTTATGGTAAATGGAGAAATGCTTGACTCTGTGTACATGCGGCTCAGGCTTGGGTACAAATATTACTGGGAATATGGGATAGATGTTCATGATAATGACAGGAAGTGTAAACTATGTGGTATGTTAAGGTCTCACACCCTTGCCCATTATGTTCTTGATTGTCCGTTGATTAATGTATATAGAAACACTGAGATAAGGACTGTTCCTGAGCAAATAGCCTGGATGTGTCACAACGGAAAGGTTGATGATATTCTTGAGAGATATAAGAATTTTGCACCAAGATTGTAATATTTTGTTGAATTAGCTGCATGTCTATTGCAACTTATGTCTATGTACCTAAGTCATACAGGTATTTATGTGTATGTCTGGGAACATACTACTTGTGTAAGGGAAGAAATGTGTATGTTTATCTCTCAGAATGTTTGGTAATATGTTTATTGTTTGTGATGTGTGTCTACATCACAAACAAAATACAAAATAAATTTCAAAACAATTCACAAACCAATGAGGCCGACACACACACACACACACACAAGGGGCCTGGTAGCCTGGTGGATAGCGCACAGGACTCGTAATTCTGTGGCGCGGGTTCGATTCCCGCACGAGGCAGAAACAAATGGGCAAAGTTTCTTTCACCCTGAATGCCCCTGTTACCTAGCAGTAAATAGGTACCTGGGAGTTAGTCAGCTGTCACGGGCTGCTTCCCGGTGTGTGTGTGTGTGTGTGTGGTGTGGAAAAAAAAGTAGTTAGTAAACAGTTGATTGACAGTTGAGAGGCGGGCCGAAAGAGCAAAGCTCAACCCCCGCAAACACAACTAGATGAATACACACACACAAACCCACACACACACACACACACACGTTAGATGTGGCATCACGCGAGGTGCACGCCACCACACACGTGCTCACCACACCTGAAACACGTGACTGTCAACCGCTTACCTGTTGCCCTGTTTGTGTTGATAGCCAGCAAGATATGGCGAGATAGCGCGGCCCCGTCACGACTGGTGGCTCGATTCCCTGCAAAATACGTTATCGTCATGCACACAGACGCGGAGAGAATACGCAAAGGAACAGAGGGGTGGCACTGGTGGCATTCTGGCTACCTTGTCACCCATGTGTTCATCTCACGGCCACAACACGAGAGACGCCTAGTAGGGTCTCTCACCAGCCTAAGTCCATCGAGGGAGCTAAACAGAGACACTGTATTGCAGACTCGTCACGCAGACCGCCAGACAGCCCCAAAAATATCACAGACAGTCCCTAAAAGATCACAGACAATCGCAAAAGATCGCAGACAGTTACACTGCAATGGTCCCATAATGGAGAAAATTACCTCTACATTGCTTGAAAATGCGTCTGAGAACATTGAAACCCTTCGCTCTGTGGTACTTCATGCTAGGGATTTTTTATTTGCTATACCCGACTCTGCCCCGGAAACTCGCCTTAATCATTCGTCGATTAACTTATCAACGGGGTGCCAAGTCATGTAGGCATATTAGGGAATGACATTGCAGATAAAGCTGCAAAGTTGCAACTAAGTGGAGGAATGTAGATATTTACATACCATAGAGTCTAGCACAGATTAGGAAAATAGATATAGAGCATTGTAGAAGATGTGCAATGACCATAATGCCGTAGTTGCAACATCAGGCTATGTGGGTTGGTACAAGAATACGAATCAGCTACAAATCACTTATTTTGACGAAGGCGGGTATATTAGAAGAACAAAAGTGCACTTATCATGCTTTGGTACCCGCATTACGCTTTGGTACCCGCATTACGCTTTGGTACCCGCATTACGCTTTGGTACCCGCATTACGCTTTGGTACCCGCATTACGCTTTGGTACCCGCATTACGCTTTGGTACCCGCATTACGCTTTGGTACCCGCATTACGCTTTGGTACCCGCATTACGCTTTGGTACCCGCATTACGCTTTGGTACCCGTCTGTACGTGAAATAAGCTTTTAAAGGTTCCAGAGGAAGAAAGGAATAACATTGTGGAGTAATGCCAGACAAACCATTATCTAACACAATGTAGAGTTACAAATGGACCATTATCTTACACAACTGCCATCTGTGGAAGTGCATTGGCAGGCCTATGTAGTTATCATGTAGTCTGATATACGTATTAAACTAAGTCAGTATTTGACTTATTATTTGGGTTACAGGATGAGTTGTTTAATGTAAGTTTTTTAGGGAGGGATTTTGTTTGTAATTTTTTTTTTTTTTTTTTTTTTGCAGGTGGTCCTCACGTCATGGTGGGTGTGATGTGGCTGAGACACGTGACGTCAACAATTTCTGATGTCACCCAGTCCCGGCGCCTGCACATCTTTGCGTCACGGCGCCTGCACATCCTTGCGTCACGGCGCCTGCACATCCTTGCGTCACGGCGCCAGCACATCTTTGCGTCACGGCGCCTGCACATCCTTGCGTCACGGCGCCTGCACATCCTTGTGTCACGGCGCCTCCACATCCTTGGGTCACGGCGCCTCCACATCTTTGCGTCACGACGCCTCCACATACTTGCGTCACAGCCCCTGCACATCTTTGCGTCCCGACGACAACATCTAAAACCTCTCTCGACTGTAAAATCTCCTTCCCGAGTACCTTCCGGTGCCAAATCTCACTGTTGGTGTCTTCAAGAACTGGCACTATCACCGACCTCTGACGCCTCGCTTCCATAGACTATCGTAATGTCAGGCGCACAAGACGCCGCCCTGATCGAGCAGACTGTTAGAGCTTCGATCTGGGGCCAGATTTCCCACGATGAAGACCTTTTCACCCAAGCACACCAGATGCTGATCGGGGCGAAGGATGAGATCGAGGGAGAGTCTTTGGCGAAGCGAGATCCTTGCGAAGTCAATATTTCCTCCACTTCCGACGTGAGGAAAGATGGAGAAAGCGGCGATAAGTGGGTAAGAGAGACCGCGAAGTCGAAGAGGAAACGCACTTCCGCGGCGCCTAAGACACTTCCACCGCTGCTGCCGATGGCGTCGCGCGAAGTCCGAAGTCCGCAGCCGACTTCGACGACCCGGGTAGTTACCACAGAGTCACCACGACCTTCACTACGACGTACGCCGTCACCCTGTAGGAGACAGGATGCCATCGGTGCTTCGAAGCGCGTCTCTCCACCGCCCCTACTGCCTCTCTCCTCAACGCTCTTTACCATGACTCCCGCCTACTCCACCTCCCCTTCTGCGTCTCCTCCGTCGAAACGCTCTACGCCCTCTTCCTCGCCGCATTCACGACGCACGCCCACGCCCACCCTGTCAGCCCGAAGGACCTGTCCACCGCCCACCGCGGCCACGCCTCCGTCAGACTCCTACTCCCCTACACGAGAAGAAATGGAACAGGAACATCGTTTAAAAAAAAGAGTAAGAGCCATAGGGAGGATTCTTCATGCGCTGTGATGTCTTTTTACGAAACCTTTACATCTTTCCTCAATCATGATGGTTTAAAACTTTACACTCCATGGTTATTATTGCTATAAATGATCTCATAGTGCTTAAGAGCACATAAACCATTTAATAAATGTAAATCTAACAGCCTTATTTGAGGAAAGATGTAACGGTTTCGTATATCAACACTTAAATACGTGTCCATAACTAGTATTTTGATGTTTCTTTGCATCTTACAATCTCAAAAAAATTATCTCTCACGATAAGCGTTCATATATTTGATTTCTAGTTATCAAAATTTTAATTTTGGATAAATTACTTTCAAAATAGTAATTCTATTATCATGGCCAGCGACCTAGATAGGTTAGGTGGGTTGCTTGGGGTAGGACGTGTATGGTGAGCAACGGAAACACTTCAATTTTCCCCTTTAAAGTCCTCGAGAAATAGGGCATGCAGCCCAAAAGTTAAATTTCTAATATGGTCATCAATTATCTTTGTCTCCCCCTACAATTGCATCCATTTTCTCTGTCTCCCCTATAACTACATACATTTTCTTTGTCTTCCCTAAAACTACATCCATTTTCTCTGTCTCCCCTAAAACTACATCCATTTTCTCTGTCTCCCATATAACTACATCCATTTTCTTTGTCTTCCCTAAAACTACATCCATTTTCTTTGTCTTCCCTAAAACTACATCCATTTTCTTTGTCTTCCCTAAAACTACATCCATTTTCTCTGTCTCCCCTATAACTACATCCATTTTCTTTGTCTTCCCTAAAACTACACCCATTTTCTCTGTCTCCCCTAAAACTACATCCATTTTCTCTGTCTCCCATATAACTACATCCATTTTCTTTGTCTTCCCTAAAACTACATCCATTTTCTTTGTCTTCCCTAAAACTACATCCATTTTCTTTGTCTTCCCTACAATATAACAACTAATTCCTGACATTTGGTGAAGGTGTGTGGTGCGTGTGGGGACGAGGCTCGCTCCCTGCACTTCGGGGGCCTGGCCTGCGACTCCTGTAAGGCCTTCTTCAGGAGGGCCGTTGTCAGCAACGCCTTCCCGGGCTTCGTGTGTACCAGCGGCCACAACTGTACTATAACCGTCGAGTCGCGGAGGAGCTGCCAGGCGTGCAGGTCAGTATAAAAAAGGCATACATGTATAAATTTAAATAATTTATACATATATAAATTTTTATATCATATTTTGAAAGCGAAGATGTGTATGTATGGTTCGTCATTGGACAGAATGGTTGTTTGTTCTTATCAAGGTCCTGTTTATGCCCAAACTGAACTGTACGAGGCTACTTTGTTCAGCACGCCAGTTAACAGCATGATCAATCCGAACTGCTTCTTTACGAGTGATATCCAAACACTCGGGGTAATATAACAGACATTAACACGAGCGAACTGTGAAAAGTTGACAACATGCCCATGCACTCAGCCCCGGGTCCAGACTCTTGGAATTCCAAATTCATAAATGTCAAATACCAGCAGCATGAGAGCTCAGCATAATAATAATAAAAAGACGGGATACAACTGATATACCAGAAGCACTTTAATCAGCAGTTATATCTTCAGTACACAAGGGAGGGTAGTAAAGCACTGGATAAAAGCTATAGAACGGGTTATCTTGAGGTTATCTTGAGATGATTTCGGGGCTTTAGTGTCCCCGCGGCCCGGTCCTCGACCAGATCTCCACCCCCAGGAAGCAGCCCGTGACAGCTGACTAACTCCCAGGTACCTATTTACTGCTAGGTAACAGGGGCATTCAGGATGAAAGAAACTTTGCCCATTTGTTTCTGCCTCGTGCGGGAATCGAACCCGCGCCACAGAATTACCTTAACCGGGTGCCTTAACATCACACATAATTATTGTGAATGATTAAAAATCAAACCGCCAGTTTTGTGAACAATGAATTTCACAGCCAGGACACCATAGTTTTACAGCGGGAAGATCATGCTTCATGCAATTACTCAATTGCCATGAGAAAATCAAAGAAGGCGCCGATCCTTAACTATACGAATCTGTTCTCCCAGCAATGATTGGGTACGTGGTTCTTAAACACTTAACGGGTCGTATTCCAGGGGAAACTAGTGGATAAGTTTTACCATAAGCTATGGGAAGGGAAAGCTCTCAGCCTGCTAACAAGAGTCAGCAGTCGTCTGCTCCTGTACCCACCTGTGTGTAAAACTAGTAGGGTAAGGCTTACCATAAGCTATGGGAAGGGAAAGCTCTCAGCCTGCTAACAAGAGTCAGCAGTCGTCTGCTCCTGTACCCACCTGTGTGTAAAACTAGTAGGGTAAGGCTTACCATGAGCTATGGGAAGGGAAAGCTCTCAGCCTGCTAACAAGAGTCAGCAGTCGTCTGCTCCTGTACCCACCTGTGTGTAAAACTAGTAGGGTAAGGCTTACCATGAGCTATGGGAAGGGAAAGCTCTCAGCCTGCTAACAAGAGTCAGCAGTCGTCTGCTCCTGTACCCACCTGTGTGTAAAACTAGTAGGGTAAGGCTTACCATGAGCTATGGGAAGGGAAAGCTCTCAGCCTGCTAACAAGAGTCAGCAGTCGTCTGCTCCTGTACCCTCCTGTGTGTAAAACTAGTAGGGTAAGGCTTACCATGAGCTATGGGAAGGGAAAGCTCTCAGCCAGCTAACAGGAGTCAGCAGTCGTCTGCTCCTGTACCCACCTGTGTGTAAAACTAGCAGGGTAAGGCTTACCATGAGCTATGGGAAGGGAAAGCTCTCAGCCTGCTAACAAGAGTCAGCAGTCGTCTGCTCCTGTACCCTCCTGTGTGTAAAACTAGTAGGGTAAGGCTTACCATGAGCTATGGGAAGGGAAAGCTCTCAGCCAGCTAACAGGAGTCAGCAGTCGTCTGCTCCTGTACCCTCCTGTGTAAAAAAAAATAATTGTTGTATACAAGGACTTTGCAAAGGCATTTGATAACCATGGCAAGATAACCTATTAAATGAAATCAACAGAAATAACACGACGAATATTCAGTTTCCTGTCAAACAGAATGCAAATAGTAATAGAAAAATGAATCAAGTCCAACCAGAGTACTGAGCTTTGCACCTCAGAGCACAGAGAGGTGTCCTTGTACCACTGTTTGTTTTTCTTATTCTCGTATCAGATATAAACAAAACAAAAACCAAATTTACATCTTTGTAAATTTACATCTTTGTAAATTTACATCTTTGTAAATTTACATCTTTGTAAATTTTCATCTTTGTAAATTTACATCTTTGTAAATTTACATCTTTGTAAATTTACATCTTTGTAAATTAAATAAATCTCATACTTTGAGGACGATACAAAAATCAGTCTGAAAAATGACTTTTATAGAAGACAAAATACAATCTAATACTTTATTATTTTATAAATACAAGAATTGTTACATTCTTATAGCCTTTCGTGGAAGTCCTTAATCTTAATATTCCCCGGAATACGACCCGCCAAATCGTTTAACAACCAGGTACCCATTTTACTGTTGGGTAAACAGAGGCTACAGTTATGGATTGGCGCCCAGTCAATCCTCCCCCGGCCAGGCTACGAACCTATGACAAAGCGCTCGCGAAACGCCAGGCGAGTGTCTTACCACTACACCACGGAGACTGCGAATGTTTAACAACCATGTTTAACAACCATGTTTAACAACCATGTTTAACAAGAATAAATTCCAGGTACTTGGGAATGGTTAAAAAGGAAGAATTTAAACTAAACACAGAGTACAGGGGCCAGATTCACGAAGCACTTACGAACCTGGGGCCAGATTCACGAAGCACTTACGCAAACACTTACGAACCTGTACATTTTTTCTCAGGTCTTTGGCGACTTTGTTTACAATTATTAAACAGTTAATGAGCTCCGAAGCACCAGGAGGCTGTTTATAACAATAACAACAGTTGATTGGCAAGTTTTCACGCTTGTAAACTGCTTAATAAATGTAACCAAAGCCGTCAAAGATTGAGGAAAGGTGTACACGTTCGTAAGTGCTTGCGTAACTGCTTCGTGAATCAGGCCTCAGGTTCGTAAGTGCTTGCGTAACTGCTTCGTGAATCTGGCCCCAGGACACAATCATATCTACTCATAGAAGGCAAACAACATGAAAAGCATCTATGAATAATGATATCAGGCCGCCTAACGTTCAGTGAGGATAACAAAGATATCAGTCAGGACAATGAAAGGATGGATAACGAGAACCTTCAAATCCAATGGTCCAATCCCACTAGGATACTGTTTTAAATCACTTGTGTTGTCCCGTCTTGAGTACTGCTCAGTACTCACTTCCCCCTTCAGAGCATTAGAGATCTCTGAACTAGAGGGAATACAGAGAACATATACGACACGCATAGACGAGATAAAACACCTAAATTATTGGGACCGTCTCAAAGCTCTCCAAATGTACTCACTAGAAAGGAGACGAGAGAGATACCAAATAATATATACATGGAAGATACTGGAGGGCCAAGTACCAAATTCGCACAGTAGAATAACAACATACTGGAGCGAAAGGTAATGTTAGGCTTTAGCTTATCATTATCTACATATAATGATATGCTAATGGTATGCTAAAGCTTATATGATAATAAGATGCAGCTTTATCTTATTTTATTTGTTTATCGTATTATATTTATCTAATACACTTTATCTAGTTGTATCTTATTATGATAGAGCTTATCATAATATAATTAAATCGGGGAATGTAATACTAAAATCAGGGAATGTAAAATATGCTAATTTCAGCAAAACTTTTGCTACTGCATCAACGATTATTTATTTTACATTAGACCTGTATGTAGTCGTTTTGAGAGCGACTCCTGCAGCACTAATGAACAAATCCACAAGGGCCGTGACGAGGATTCGAACCTGCGTCCGGGAGCATCCCAGACACTGCCTTAAACGACTGAGCTACGACATGGTTAAAAGGATTGAAACCGACACGTTATTGTGACTCCTCGCCTGCACAGGATGAATGAACAAATCCACAAGGGCCGTGACGAGGATTCGAACCTGCGTCCGGGAGCATCCCAGACACTGCCTTAATCGACTGAACTACGACAGAACTTTCTCAGTAAGCCTACTCCTGTAATTATACTTGACAATGTTCATCGCTGGACACAACAACACGCATGAACATGGCGATGACAGGAAACTATCGTGAGAAAGCGCCAATTAGCCATTAAGATTATATAGTACTTGGAAGGGATCAGGATAAGGATTTAGGATAGGACAGGGGGGGGGGTGCCCAACCACTTCTGGGACGGTCGGGGATTGAACGCCGACCTGAATGAAGCGAAATCGTCGCTCTACCGTCCACCCCAAGTGGTTAGGCATATACAGTACTTTTAATAAAGTCATTGTCAGATGTTTCAGAAAGTTAAGGGGTGGAATTTCATTGTTTCAAATCCCTTTTTCAGCAAATTTCTGCCTAAATTCAATTATAAACCGACCTCTCTGTAGGTTTTATATTTCAGTTGCTCCTCAATTACCAATTATTACCTTCAAATTAAGTTTGCTATACGAATCTCGTCTCGAAATTATGCAAATCAATCATTAGTAACATTTTCAATTACAATTTGTCTAATGTTATACTAAATACTTTGATTGTTACATAGTTTCTTCAAATGATCAAAAATTCGTAAATCTTATAGTATATTATTGTGTGGTTAAATTAAAATAATTATTTAATGATCTAAAAGCCTAATTCTTTATGAATTTCAAGATTTGAGCTTTTTTCTCCAGATTTAGGAAATATTTAAAAAAAAAGTCCCATTGTTAACATCCTGTTTAGCAACTTTGGTTTGATATCATCTGGTTTTGTGTTATCAAACATTCCATCGAATGTTTTGCCACATTCGTGTTGCTCGGTGTTCAAGGCATTTAAATGTGAGAAGTCTCTAAAATTTATATATATATATATATATATATATATATATATATATATATATATATATATATATATATATATATATATATATATATATATATATATACCCTGTTACCTAGCAGTAAATAGGTACCTGGGAGTTAGTCAGCTGCCACGAGCTGCTTCCTGGGGGTGGAGGCCTGGTCAAGGACCGGGCCGCGGGGACACTAAAAAAGCCCCGAAATCATCTCAAGATATCAAGTTAGCAATT